GTCATTTTGTACATGTCTTTACTTGAAAAAGAATCAATATTTATCTACAGGAGGAGATATGCTGCAATGCAAAATTTTCAGACAGACAGACACCGACAATCCCAGAAGTTCCGTACATTCCAGTACAAGAACTAAATGGAGTGAATCAAGGATTTAATCACACAATTAATTTCAATGATGTCTCAGGGGCTGAGACGGCCAATCAGCTACAGCCATTTATCTCTCCGTCCATTTCATCCACATCAGCATTCAACACTCATCCAGTTGCAAATGTAGATAACGTTTCTTCTGTGGTAAACATGCTCAAAGGCGCTTTAGAACAAAAGAAGCTTGGTAACCAAGAGAACAAAGAAACCCTAGAAGGAAGTTCTTTTAGCTTTTATAATTCTCAAGAAATTCCAGTGAATATAAGCGCCGATCAAAATGGAGTGAATCAGACTCCTGAGCCACCCAGAACTTTTCGTGGGGTATTTCCTGTGCAATTTCAAGATCTGCTGATATGGCAACCTTCTAAAGGTCTTTGGAACTAAATTTGAAATGATTTGATATTCAGGTAAACCAATGTCAAGTGGGAGGAATGTCTCAAGAACCTTCACAAAGTGAATCATGACTGTTGCACCTGCACTCTCAACTGGTTGTGATAACGCCATCAACTCAGGACAAACATTTTCTGTTTGTGAGAGTACGAGGAAAAACGTTAGCAATGGAAATTCAGCTCATGCATCGAAGGCCAAAGGTTTGTCCATTCTTTATGATTTTCTGAAAGCGTAAAACTGGCATTTTCCTTTCCAAGTAATGCTGTCAATAATTCCTTCCAATAGTTTTAGTTGTTATCTGTGGTGACATCATGTCCTTTCCATACCATAGTAAAGGTCCATGTTCTCAGTACTTTTGTTCTTGGATATGCTTTTCTCGGACTCTAAACTATCTTGTAGATGATGAATTTTTGGCCCTTTTTTGTGTGGTATTGAATCTTGGTGCATATATATCATGCCATTGTTCAGTTTTTGTACCCGTAAGCCTTGGAGGAAGCCTATTATGTTCTGCATGGTACCATTTCATTAGTGTGTGCTATTTTAATACTCTTCAGAACCCCATTTTTTCCTTTCTCATTCTTGTTTTAATATTCAAATATGATCCCGATACTGTTCATCTACACGGAGAAGAGCTTTTATCAGTTCAGAAGTCTTAGTAGATAGTTCGGTGCATGAAGAGGTTGGAGCTACACTTGTATGCTATCAGCTACATTTTGCAGCAGATCGATTTCTGATTTAAACATGTTTTTGTGATATGCACCACCTTATTCCTTTATTTCATTTTTTAAGAAGAAAGCTTAACTTTGCATGCCTTGCTTTTTTGTGGATTTTGATGTTCCATGGTATCCTTTTCTGGTGCAGAATATAGGGAAAAATTTTTGGAAAACAATTTAAAGGATGATAGGAAGGTAACATATACTTTGATATTAGAGATCATTTTCCATATACGTAGATAAGAATGAGATGAAGATTCTAGCTTGCTAATCAGTTTTATTTTTTATTTCTTTAGTAAAGAAATATAGTTCGGATGGGTTCTGTTTCATCATGTGGTTCAGGTTAGTTCCATGTTCCTTGTGTCATGTAATCGTCGCTTCAATTTCCCGACACGAAGAATTTGGAGTAAAGGCTTTGATCTTGTGTAAACCAAACTATTTAGGTGCCGGTCAAAATTATGTGGTTATTAGTCATGATATATGTATTGCTGAGTTATGTTTTAGTGACAGTATATAGTGCTGAAAAAAATATTCTAACCAGAGAAGGGTGTATGCAGTGGATAAAGGAGACCCCACAAAGAAACGCAGGGTGGAGCGCTCACGCAAGTACGTGTTCGTCAACTTGAATCCTGTTGAGAATCCTTGGAGTGCATTCAGATTTGTATTGGCACTAAATAAATCCTATTGTTGTCAATTTTGATCGCTTGGTCTCCGGAGGCAAGAAGCGAAGGAAAGAAGTCCAACGCGAACTCTACCATCAGATATGCAATCAGTGCTCATGGACCAGTGGGCCTTCTCGGCCCACTAGAGGAGCGGGTCCATCACGGGTGCGGGCGGGTCGACCCGATAAAAGAGTTGTGCGACGATGAACTATGGATTCCAGTCCAAAACGTTTGCTCATGAACAATAACATTATGAGGTTAAAAAGCGCCTCGTCATGATATACGAACACACATGTAACTTATTGAAGGCTAATATATCAATGCCTCAACTTCCAAGTGAGACGACCTCTAATGCAGAAACAGTACTGACGGTATCTATTTGCTTCATATCTCTAGATTGATCCTTCAAATAAAGCGAAAAAGGAAAATGAAAAAAAAAAATAGTGTATCTATTTGCCTCACCAAAGATTGACAAAATTCACTAAAAACAATGGATATATGGACAAGCATGTTTCCATTGTTAGTGATGGGCAGCACCTGCAAGCTTATTCGAGTTTACTGGCAAGCAATTGATCGAGAATATGCCAAGTCCACCAACAATTAGTGCGTTCAGTCCTTGAATAAAAATCTGATGTTTATATAACTGAAGTAATGAAATCAGTTTTGTCTCTATATATGATTTGTAACTAACTAAGATAATGTACTACAACTAATACTAAATTTCCGGCTGCTTCAGGTCCAAAGGGTCGAAAATTGATAAACTTTCTTTAAATTTCTCCATGTTTGAGATTGTTATTTATCCTGCAGTCTTGTGTCATACACTAGAGTGATTTGTACTAGGCTTCTGCTCACTGTCAGTCTTCTCCTACCACTGCAACAAAAATTGTAACTAGTAATACATTTTTTCCCTTACTTTGGGACACATTTTTGTGTCACACAAAACATAATTCAAAACTGTAGTTAGAATATGTATGGAGAGAGTCTCTCGACACATATATCAGATGCTGTCAACTGAAGATTGATCATGTCAAGCTTTTGTAAACCCAAAACCCGAGATCATTTTTGAATGGATTATCCTAAAGAATGACATAATAAGTCTACTACGTTAATTAATGATGTTAAAAGCCATCTTGAATCTAGTAGCTGATAGTTAAACGCTACGTGAATCATTGCACTTGAGTAGCGGAGCCACATAGCGCCCAATGGTGTCACAGGACGCCACTAAGTTGTCTATTTTATACACATTTTTATTTACTAGCATGCAACACGTGCATCGCACTTGATGCATGTTATAGCTATTCATGCGGACATAATCCTTTTATATTCTAAGTTTGATTAAACAAGAATTGAGATACAGAAAGCATTAAAAAAAAGAGAGAGAATCATATACAAATGAAAAGAGAAATTACTAATGTAGAAGATAAAAATAAACGTTTCCTTCTTTATAAGCGTAATAACTTTGGGTAACACGTTGGACTGTAAATCATCATTGTGACTTAATTTCAAAAAAAAAAATAATAATAATAATAATAATGGCGGGAAGCAAATCAACTATAGCAGGCGAGGTGTCATCCAGAAACCGTTAAAATACGAACGCGGATGATCCGAGTAGTACCGCCCCCAACTTTTATCTCCCAAATTGTACATCAGGTGAGTGCGGAAGTCGTCGTCGTCTTCGTCCAAATCCACAGGGGCGGAGTAATAATCCTCGGGGTGTAGCCTCTTGTTGGCGTCATGAGGGATGTAAATGCAGTTGCTCCTCAGCCTTGGGGAGTCGGCGGTGGACAACGAAACGGACAGGCTTTTGGTCCCGAGAAAGAAGGAGAAGCTGCCGAGGGATTCGACGGGAGCCCACCTCTTCGGGGCATCGGCATCATCGTCCATCAGTCTGTAGACGTCAATCTCTCTCCTCTTCTTCTCTCCCGCCTTAATCAGATTCCTCCACCGGACCAGGAAAAGCCCGGACGATGAATTGACGAGCCGCGCTTGCTGGAAACTTATCCATCCGTTGCTTTCTTGGTAAGCTGGGAGATTCAGCGTCATGTCGGTCACTCTGACGGTCGGCGAAGAGAAATCCAGGGCGATGATTCTCCTAGCGCACCTGTACGCTGCGTAGAACAGGCCATCTCTGTAGGCAGCCACATCTTCAAAATTATCACGGCCCACAATATCCCCCAGATTGGTCCAGCGGCGATCGACTCCTAACCGTGTATAAGCTAGAAAATTACCGGTTAAACCCCACATGGCGACGGCAGCGGTGCTGTTCATGGCGATCCTGACGATCCTAAAGCATGCGGGGTGATCGCTGGGGTCCTCGGATAGGGTGGACGAAGAAGGGAGGAGGCCGAGTTGGGACCAAGAGTCGAAAGGGTTGACGAGGTGGATCCCCGAGTTGTCGCGGCCGCGATAGCTGGCGTACTCGATCATGAGGCAGTGGGCGTCTGCCGGGGGAGATGGAGACCGCGGTGGCGAACTCGCTTCTGGATTCGTTTATAGGGCAGAGGGAGAAGAGCCACGGGGACTCCGTGTCCGCGAAAGGCTGGTGGGCGACGCGTTCGGCCGCGGAACGCCAGGAGGTGCAGACGGCGGGGAAGCGGAGGTAGTCATCGAGAGGGAGGCGTTTCTGTATGCAGTTGAGGATGTCAGCGGGCAGGTC